CCCCCCCCCCGCAGGTACGGCATTTTCTTCCAAAAATAAGACCTTCTCTTCCCGAAATCATGGCTTGCTCCAATAAAATGACATTATCTCCCAGAAATACCAGTTTTCGCCCAAACGTAGGACAGTTTCGACCACAAGTATCACATTTCATATATCACAAATACCAGTCTTCTCCCCAAAGACGTTTTCTACCAGAAATACAGGTTTTCTTAGGTATACTTCATGTTTCATCCACAAAATACTACACAACAGTAGCAAATGTGACATTTTCCAACAAAAACATGATATTTCCTCCCAGAAATACCAGCTTTCTCGCAAATATGTGATCTTTTCTGCCTAAAGAAGACAGTTTCTCCCGGAAACACAGCTCTCTCACAGACATAGGAACTTTCCCTCCCAAGATAAAACATTTTCTCCCAGAAATACCAGTTCTCTTAGAAACACCTCCCATTTTCTACCAAAAATACGACTTCACACTCCTCAATAGGACACTTATTCCCAGAAATAGGGCAATTTATCACAGAAATACCAGTTTCTCCCCCCAAAATACGACGACATTTTCTCTCAGAAACAAGACATTTTCTCCCAGGAATGCCAGTACCCTTAGAAATTCCTCACATTTCATCCCAAGAGCGCTTCTATACACTCCTCAATATCATGTTTACTCCCATCAAAATGACATTTGACATCAGATACTCCAGTTTTCTAACAAAGATGGGACATATTCCCCCGGAAATACCAGCTTATTTTTTAAAACGTGGCATTTTCTCCCCAGAATCCCAGCTTTCTCACAAATAGATGTCATTTTCCAACAAAGCATGCTGTCTTCTCCCAGAAATTGCCGTTTTCTGAGAAATACCTTCCATTTTCTCTCAAAAGTACTACTTTAAACTCCCGAAGAGGACATTTTCTCCCATATAGACCCTATTTTCTCCCCAAAGGACCAGTTTGCACTCCAAAAATAAGACAGTTGCTCTCAAATAGAAGACATTCCTTCCCAGAATTTCCCCCTTTGCTCCAACAAGTAGGGCATTTTCTCACAGAAATACCACGTTTCAGTTGGAAAGCTGACCTTTTCTTCCAAAAATAGGATATTTTCTCCCAGAAATACCCATTTTCTTACAACTACCACAGGTTTTCTCCCCAAAATATCAGAGGACAAGACCACATTTTGCACTTGCAACCAAGAATAGGACATTTTCTCACAGAAATACTACTCTTCTCCCACATATAGGAGATTGTCTCCGAACTGGATGGCGTTTTTGGTAAGAAATACCACTTTTCTTCCCTCAATAGGACATTCTCTCCCAGAAAAATAGAGTACTCTTAGAAATACCTCCCAATTCCTCCCAAACAGACTGCATTACACTCCTCATCATGACACTCACTGCCAGACTTTTGGCATTTGATCACAGAAATACCATTTGTACCCAAAATATGTGGCATTTTCCCTCATGAAACACCACTTTTCTCACAAATGCGTGGCACTTTCTTTCACTGGTGTGTGCACAGTGCCTGGTCCCCCCCACAATTTCTTGCCCAGAGCTATCCATGACATCTCTGTCTTGGCACTGATGGAGTCACACTGTGGTTCTGAGCTCTTCATGATTTTCTCAAATCTTGTTTTGGATGATCACATGCAGCACAGGAGGCTCCATGCCCTCCATGCCCTCCATGCCCTCCATGCCCTCCATGCCCTTAATGCCTGCCCTGCCCCATTCTGCTGGTGAATTCTACACATTCACCCTAGCCTTCCTTTTACTGCATATGTATTTGCACAAGCCCCTCCTGTCTTTGATATTCTGCCTGGGCAGATTCCGCTGTGTTTGTGCTGTAGTCTTTCTAAATGCACCTCAGCAGGTACACATAGCAGGACAATAGCTGCAATTATACATTAGGTGTCGGAGCAGGAGCTTGTTTCAAGCCAGGTAAAGAAAAAGCAAGCACTATTGGCTTGGTGAGTAGACAATTGCTGTCAACAGCTAAAGGAGCTCAAATAAGTCTCCAGGCAGGCCTAAGCAAGCTCAGAGCCATGTGTTGCTGGCATATTAGAAAGCTGTAGCCTGTGACAAGAAACTGCAACGCCTTGTTTACTGGCTTGTATAGCCACCATGAGTCCCACTCTTGTGGAATTCACTACAAAAGACAAAGATGAGATTTGGCTGAATTTCCTGGGGTGAAACCAACCACTAGGATAGCCCAGGTTGTTCTTTCATCACAGTAGAGACGAGATGAAATGGTGTGGTCACTGCCATCACCCCTGTTCGAGACCATGCAGAAGGCAGGCATCTTGTAAGCTATGTGGCACTAAGGACACACCTGTAAGCTATGTGGCACTAATGAGAGGCGTAATGGCAATTTGTAGTCTTTTTTAATCTGGACAAAAATTCATAACTGATGAGCATTATGTTTTATCAAAATAATTCTGGAATACCAAAATTTTGTATTTATTCATACGTTGTACAAGAGCTGCACTGAAATTAATGCCTCCTGTTCTATTATGTTTGCTCATGGTATCAGAAGTGGGTGTTTCTGATTCGGCGGTAGAAGTGGAACCTCTCTGTTCCTATTTCATTACACTTTGTGACCATCTTGATTGCATCAGATGTGCAAGTGAGACAAAGTGGTGCGTG